ACACTCACACACTCACACACTCACACACACACACACTCACACACTCACACACACACACACACACACACACACACACACACACACACACACACACACACACACACACACACACTCACTCACTCACTCACTCACTCACTCACTCACTCACTCACTCACTCACTCTCTCATAAACACATATTCACACTCACACTCGTAGGGAAAATTAGCAGTCTGTCTGCTTGTTTAAATATTACTATTTGGTTATTTCATCCTAGTAATATCTTAGATATTATAGGAAAGAACAGTGTGGATGGCTCTAGGGCAACCTAATTAAGGGCAAGACAAGCACAGACTTTACAATGCGATCAAGTGAAAGTATGAGGCATATGCAGTACTAGTAAAAGTATCAGTAGTATTGGATATAGAAGACACACACACACACACACACACACACACACACACACACACACACACACACACACACACACACACACACACACACACACACAACACACACACACACACACACACACCACACACACACACACACACACACACACACACACACACACATAACACACACACACACACACACACACACACACACACACACACACACACACACACACACACACACACACACACACACACACACACACACACACACACACATGTACACTTTAATGCAGACAGATTCACGCACATACAATATGCATTGATTGCTCTGTACATTGAATTTATGTTTTGTTTTAATTACATAATGTAATAAGCAAATAAGAAAATGCTTCATGCTCACTAAGTATGTTTATGAATTGAGATAGATTAATGTATTGAATATTGAGTATTGTTTATGATTAGCGTTTGACTTTTTGATAATTGCCATCATAACAACATGATGCATTCTATTGCACCTGTACAGTGGTGAGCCTTACTTACAAAAATGCTTAATTACTTGAAAATGGCCTGGGAATGCTTGCTAATAGTAGGTCTGTTGTACTTTATTTTGATTGGTGAAGGAAACACTGTAAGGCCTTAGAGCATTTTTAGCATTTTTGCATAATGTAACCATCCTGTGACAGAAAGAAGAGGAAGAATATTAAGGAGTGACAGAGAGACAAAGGAAGGGTGAATGGAGAGAGAGGGAGAAAGTAGAATTAGGAATAATGGAAAGGGAGAGAGACAAGGATTAAAGTTATCTTGTACAGTGACCCCCCAAAAGATCTACATATTGCTGTTAATGTTAGAATAAAGATCATATTGGTGTTGTGTATGGGAGAGAGCACACTAGGCCATATGATGATGTCACTCATCTATTACATTGTCACATAGCCATAATATGTGAGTGATCCAATTAAAAATCTAATGATGAATAGTTCAAATATATTATAATGGCTTACCATTATCAGATTTTCAAAAAAATTGTCAACTGCCTAAAAAGATACCATGTCATCCCCTTGACTACGTTGCATATATGCCACTTTAAACAATTTCCCCAATGCCTAGGGCAGTCTAGGAAGAATGTTTTTTTTTTAGTTGGTGATTTAGTCGTGGAAAATAGAGTGATAGAGAGAGAGAGAAAAAAAATTAAGTTCATGCTGTCAGGTTACTCCTATGTGTGTGCTGAGATGCTGGATAGTACACAGAATATGTTACTGTTCAACATTATAGATTAAATATACTCAACAATTGTAGAATATCACAAAAAAACTCCAACCTAACAAACAGAGTAATGTGCATTCAAAAATGGTCGCTCTGCCAGTTGGTTTAGGGTTTCATATGACTTCTCTGATGGGGATGTCCTTGGTAACGGACTCTTATCCAACTGCTCTTCTCATGGCCTATCCAGTGAGCATGCTTTAAGAACACTTACCAAATGTTCTAGAGTGTTTTTAGATGTCCCAAGAGGACTTTTTGTGGGATATTGACCTACAATGGTTTTCTACCTTAGGCACCCCCAGTAGGTGTATAGGATAACTTTAAGAATGAAAGGAAAGGGGAGAATAAGAGTAGGATTGATGGAGAGAAAAAGAAAAGGGTTAGGAGTGAAGGTTAGAGGGAGAGAGAAGAATTAGAAGTGAAAGGATGAAAGAAAAAGTGAAGAATGAAGGAGATGGGAGAATTTAGAATTATGAATGAGTAAAAGAGGGAGATTGTTTTGTAAGGAATGAAGGTGAGAGAGTAGGATTGGGGGTGAAGGTAAGGGGGTAAAAAATGGTAAGGATTGATAGAGTGGGAAAGAGAAGGATAAAGAGTGAAGGAGATGTAGAAAGCAATATAGATTATGGAGGAGAATGGGAGAGAGAAGGATTAGAAATGAAAGAAAAGGGAAGAGAATAGGATTACACATGTACTATGATTTGAAAAAAAAAAAAAAACTTATGGGGGTATAATGAATCCAGAGGAGGCAAAATTTGTAAAGACAGATATTAGTCTCCTTAGACCAACAACTCCTCCAAAGCAAAAACTTTGCTTGAGGTGAGAAGTCATCCTGGCAGTTCAAAAATAGAAAATTTCAGGTAAT